ACGGAACACACAAACTCGAAGGCTCTATCGAAAGAAAAAATTATAGCAACCAATAGTGAACATGAATAGGTTTTCGCACGGGTGAGTAGCGGGTGGCGGTCTCCATTGAGAAGGCACGATGGGGTGAAAAGACCTTAGGGGAATCCGTGGGAGTTTCACTTCGATCAATGTGATTACACAACTGGTGGCGCTATGAGAACTATAAAAAGTTTGTTGAACTGTGTGGTGTACTAAACTGACCTCATGGTGAGGAGGGAACAACTGGCTATTTTCGTAGCGTACCGCCCTTGACTATCAAGCTGGACAAACCTGGTGGTCCCGGAAAAGACGGAAACCGATGGTGGACTATTGAAACCTCCCTCCAAGGTTACAACTAGTGTACTATAATGAAGAAATATTGACTTGGTGCAGTCGGTACGAAAGCCTCTTTTCATCCTTCTTTCCTTTATCTTCATCATCATCATCATTATCAACTGTAATAACCGCGTACTTGTCGTAGTGGTTTTAGCTGCCGCAGTTTCGTTCACCGATGATTTGGGGGGGATAGGTAGCTGCGCATTGGAGGCGCGAGATGATAAATTGGTGCATTACACTGTCAGTGGGCTGTCAAGTGGGGGTTGGAAAAGGAGCTATGCATTGAAGGCAATAGCTTGGATGCACGAGCGCCATTGAGGGTGCGATTGGGCCATGTCTGATAATGTCTAACCATTGATGTGGACCGTCTCGGGGTCCCCATCCAGGAAGATGGCAGTGACCAGTGACCAGCGCAGCTGTTTGCTGGTAATGGCTTTCATACTTTCCTGCAAAGTCACAGTTTGACCGCCTCTGGCTCTCTTCCACCCTTCACATGGTTGGGCGAAAAGAGCCCTTCGAGGAAGTCGGTCGATTGGCATACGCAACACGTGGCCAAGCCAGCGCAACCTATGGAGTGTGATCAGTTCATCTATCGAGGGTGAGTTATTTCTCCTGAATATCATTCGACGTAGTTCAGAATTGCTGATTCGGTGTTCCCACCAGATTCGGGTGATGTTCCGACTACATCGATGGTCAAACACGGGGCCTTAGGTTATATGCGGCACCAAGCTAGGATGGTGTACCAAAAATCTATCTGACAAATGCTCCCGTGTCGCTCCTTCGGGAAAGTATTCATTATTGGGGATCTACTGTGCAGAGTTTTGACTCATGTGATGACAGTTTAGACGCTGTTCTTTACGGCGTAGTGGTTCGTCTCCGAATAAGCTCTCACTAAGCAAAGGACGAACTTGTTTTTCTGGCTATCAGTGATTTTTCGGGGGGGGGGGGGTTAGTTCTGAAACCAAACGGAATTCAGGTCAGGTCATCCATGAGAACCCTATGCAATTTAGACCTATCTGTGAGAGCGTTTTAGGGTCGGTCCAGCTAAAGCGAAAGCCAACGGATATGAGGCGAAGCGCACGCACAGATGGCTGGCGAGCGTTGCTGTCATACCGAACTACGTCGGTGGGACGCAGGTAAGCGTTGAGCCAACTAGACGTTCTAATACAACACAGTAAACAAAACAGACCGGTTCCAAAACACTCAGCATACCTACTTGATATCTTGCTGATGGAGATAAGTAAGCAAATAAATCCTACAGTGCTTGACCTACACGGTAGTAATCAGGTCAATTCAAGGTCGCCATCACCCCCACAGGCTCAGCGGACTAAAATTCCGGGTCGTTTTCATGGGAACAACTGTGCCGCTGAGCTTGAAGACTTTGTTAAGAATGATAGACCAGAATCTTTCCCATTGGCACAATGTTTACCTGGGTTTTGCTTTTCACGAGAGGTTAGTTCAGGAATCATCATGGGTTTGACCCCTCAAAAAAGAAAGAGCAACCGGACTTACGGGCCGAATAGATCCACCGAGATGAATACATATTCTCCATTAGTAAAACCGAGTTCATGAGCCTTCAGCATTATGTAACGGACAGACGTCGGATCCGCGCACAGAATGGAAACTGAAAAAGAAAGTTGGAGACATCAGTAAAGGTCAGGTGGTCTGGTAAAAAGCAATCGAATCTCGAAAAACACTCCGTGGGTCATATAACCTGACTGATGTAGTCACAACAACCGGTCGGTTTTTCTCACGCGGAGGAACTTGAAAGAACCACATCAAAAACTGTCTAATAAATAGCCCCAGGAGAATCCAGTCCAGTAAATATTCGTAATTTTAGTACAGTAAAGCTGTAGTGTCAAACGAGTGGTAGAAATCTACCGAGAGAAGGACAAAAATACGCTAGCGTCACGTTACTAGATTTCAATGTCCTCAGATATCTTGTAAAACGCATTTTCACCAGTGGGACGTCCAAAGGGAGAGAGGAAACCGTTTTGTGTCTACCTCTCGCTCAGCGGATCAAGACCGAATGAAAAAACGGAAGGAAGCACGTGAGTGTCAGGTGACTGATACCAAAATAGCATGCTACAGAGTGCACATCCATATGGTCCGTATAAATGAACGTATACTGTCAAGGCTCAAGGTCACGTGAGCCACAGCTCAAAAGCCTTGATCGATCCCGTTGGAGTCTGCATGCTGTTGAATACCTAACAGCAGAGAACCCATTAAGCTTGTGAAAGTTCATTTTGTCATCAGGGCACACTGAAGACCACATCAGTGAGAAGGTAATGATGACTCTTCCCAGAAAGACAACCATGTGATTTTTAGCTCCTTCTCATTGCAAAGCTTTTACTGATTCAAGACCTCACTCTCCCTCTAGAAACCCTACTTCAGGGGACGCAAAATGCTGCGATTAGAAAGGAAGTAATGAGGACTTAGATTTTTGATCCCGTTTTATTCAGAGTATGACAGTCCACTCAGTGGATAACTTGAAGGATCATTCCCACACGTGTCACATTAATACAGTTACAGGTCACTTTGATTCAGACCACTGATTTGCTTGGCACAAAATTGGCGTTTCAAATGTGCCAGTTCTGTCAACATATCACATGAAATAAAAAGTCAGAATTCTTCCAGTATCAAGTAAAGACACGCACTGTAATGTCAGCAAACATTTTCGTTCGTTGCAGTCGAAAACATCCCGTCATTGTCTTCAATCAATTGGGAAAAGTTTGGAACCGATTGAGAAGTCATCGTTTCAGAAGAGCTTGGTAAATGTTGAGGTTTTGAGGCAAGGACTACGGTCCACATCACACAGACTGATCGCCGAGGCGGTAGAAATCGCCAAGCATCCCAGCGTTAACAGAATGGAAGGGATGGAACTGGCTAGCGTGTGGAAAACGGTCTTGGGTCGCTCGAGGTGATACGTGCTGGTGTGCGGTTATCATCCGAAAATCCACTTGACCTCAACCCCCCTCAAACTAAATTGTCGGAGCACTCACAACCCCACAAAGACCAGGGAGAATCTAACAGCGGCACCTGAGGTGAACCATCAAGTGAAGCATCCTGAATTGGAAGATTAAGGAACGAAAAGCGATCGCAACTAATTTGGAACCCCTCCAAACCATCAATTCAAGATTTTGGCACCCACACTAGCCGACAAGAGCCGTTAATTGACACTCAACACTGATCTAGTTTGAAGAGGACTTACTGATTGGTTCCCCGTCTGTCTTACAACCTGGCCAATTTGGTGACCTGTTCACTTGGCCTGATGAAGCTTTTGTGTCAAAAGCGAAACGTTGCCCAAATAAAAACTACCGATTGTTTACCAAGCTCTTCTGAAACCCCGTCATTGTCTTACCATTCCTCATTGAAGTTCGCACCACTTCGCCATTCATTACGAATAAAAGATATTCGGAGCTTGTATACACGTAAAACACTACTCATACGGTTGCTGAAAGCCCTTCGATAGCCCAAGACGGCTCTGGCCCACTTGGGGTTTATCGATCACGCTTGAAAACATCATTCAGCTGGGTTTCAGGTGAGTCTCCCGCAAAGCCAAATTAGTTTGCAAATGAGTGTGTTTCGCTAGCTAATACTATGAATCACATGGACAATGTGAGTGTACCTCACTGTCAAGTCTGGTTTCCCAGAAAATGGACATAGAAGCAAGTAAAATCGCTCCACTATGCCTGGACGAAACGGATGGCCTTCACCATCACATCTCTCTCACATAGTTAATGTTACATAGACCAGCCGACTTATGCAGCCGGGTGGTATGTCAGTTGCATTAGCTAGCTGACTGTTGTGGTTGGCTGTAAAATCTGTTCCGATTGGTGTTGCCTGGAAAGTCGCCATTTTTTCGACACTACAACAAATAAAAGCAGTGTGGACGACAAAAATATTTCTCCACGAAACTCGTTAGTTCCGGAGCATAAACGAGACTGTATTCACAGTGTAGTACAGAGCTAACTTCAGGCAATACATTACCATGGTTTGACATATGATTTACTCTGACAAAACGGTGTTTTTGACCGCGTCATCACAAACTCGTCCGTGTTTATGCCTAGTTGTAACTGAATGCCCATGTTGTGTGCGTCTGATGCACATCAGTGTTCAAAATGACCTCTTTTTGCTGTCCGTCCAACTTGATCACCTTCTTGAATGCCCGCTTTGACCTTGACATGGCAAGCAATGTATGGATTTAAACAACGTCACATAGGGACAAAGAGGGCCGGCCAATGGCACCCCCAGTTATTCTTCCCAACGCGGTATATTTTGTGCTAAACCTATTGGCAAAAAGCGCACATCACTGGTGTTCTGTTCCAAGCGCTGCATGGATGAATTGTCACCCAAAGAAAATGAAACCGCTTCTCAAGGTCATGATTACTTTGGTAGCGCCTGGCCACGTAAATTTGTCCGTCCAAGGACCGAGTGACTCATCAACATGTATTCTATGCTTGTCTGGGAAAGCACGTTATTCCGTTTGGTCTGACCGCACAACAACTGTATTGTTGCGCTTTGGGTTGATTGATTCCAGCCAGTTAACACTGGGACGTCAAACTCGTTCTTTTAATTTTTCAATTTGAAACAAATGTGTCCATTTGAATTCTTGTATTAAGCCTCCGGGACTCACAGACATTTTTTTAGAAAATTGGACGTATTTTCACTAATTCAGTTTCATTAGAAACTGTTGTTCATGACAGTTTTGTCCGGCTGTGAGCGGAACATCATACACGCAAGCTGATACCTCGTGGAATTTCCCCGTTCCATGAGGACTGGACGGGCCGGTTGCGACTGTCCTAGTTTCGAAGCGTCCGTCAACTCATTGGTTTTACAAAGCTTTCATTTTTAAACATAGTACAATGTTAGCGAAATACATTCATTTGCAAACAAATTTGCTTTTGCAGCTGAATCTCCCGTTTATGATGTTTCTAAGCAATTTCGTTCTTTCCAGTTGAACTCATGACACAATCTGGTCATGTTTTTTTTAAAGCAGTGCTGCTTGGCTTTCCAGGGACATGACCTGTGAGGTCCTCATAGGAACTCAAATGTTCCTACAGCCACGGAGTGCATTGAACTACGTGTCGGTCCTAAACGACCGGGCGCAGTGGACCGTGCCGGCATTGAAACACTGGGAAAATAGGCGCGATGAGCCACCCACTGACCGTACAACTGAAACCTGTCGCGATAACTCAATACCCAATATCAACCTGCAGAGTCAGTGGAGTTCTACGCCATCATAAAGTGTGGGCTTCGTACAGCTGAAAAGCTGTTCCAAGACACAGCCATCATGGTACATTTCTAATGCGCTTGGTGCACAACCTCATTGAATCCTTTAAAGTTGCCAACGCGTCGTTTTCTGCAGCATTTTTTGTATCGACCAAGAAATACGAAGACGTGTCACCGCCGACTGGAGGAAATCTAACGAATGGAGTGGCAGTGGACAGTATTATCATCAGATTGCTCGACAGGTTCATACTAGTTTATGCGAAGACTGTGTTTCCATCGAAGCTATTTTCTCTCTAGCTGTGAGATGCAAGTCATGTGTCGTTTTTCCACTCACCTGTTCTTCACGCCAATACTCTGATGAGTGTGAGTAGGAATGTATGCTGCTCCGCTTTCCTCGCGATTTTTCTGTAATGAAGTAGATTACTTGAGTTCTGTTCAAAGAGTCCAGAAAGGAACTACCTATGCCGAAATATTTTTGGCACCGATCGGCAACTTGTCAGTGAGAATTACGACTAGCACCTACCTCACTGTTAACCTCGAAGGTTGCTGTGATTTTTTATCGAACTGCCTCCAACCTATTAATCAAAGATTCATTCTATCAAGCATAGCTTGTAGCGAGTTTTCTGTTACAATTTGTTCTGGCTTATTTGGAAATTAAGACAATTAGCGAAAGGAATGAAATAAGGCATGTTATATTGGTAGGGATAACCGAACGAGCGTAATCTAATAGGACACCTTACAACTAACCTTGAATGGACAGACTTCATTGAGTAGTTGAATCGACAATACATGAGCATACTTATTAACCGGCAAGTTCCCAAACAACGATCATCCCACCCCCGTCGCCAACTTGTTGTGGACCGCACTTATCTTAATGACTTCCTAATACCTCGAACCCGAGTCTGGGTAGCCGCTTGATGGCCTGATGCGCTTAGCCAAACCAGAAAGCCAATGAACTTGCGGATCAGCTGATCTATTGAACAATGACATTTACATGGAAAGTTCTAGGTGCGCTAAAAATAGAACTCATCTATCAAGAGCAGGTGAAGAACAACCAATTGAATCCGTCTCAACGAAAACGGTTATTCGATTGGCAGTTGTGTAGTCCAGTTACGTTCGGAGCAGCATCTCCTAATGGTAAGGTGGCCTAGTTTTGGCGAATATTCCCGGCTCCTCTATGCTGTCGATCCGAGAATATTTTGAGCGCTGCATTGGTCATTGCCATCTACTTGGATGGGGGCTTAGAGATGGGACAGATCAATGGTTAGAGACACTGTCAGTCGCGACTTCAATGGCGCTGGTCCATCCGGGCTGTTGCCTTCAATGTCTAGCTCCTCTCCCAATCTCCCCCAAGAAGAGTCTACTGAGAATCTTGCAGCTACGCATCAATTA